CACCTAAAGCCAATCCTCCCAATAGAAAGAAAGTCATTCCTGGGTTAAGTATGGGAACGTGGTTGCCATCTGCTTCTGGACCATCAAAAAACTCCTGGCAGTTCATAGGTTATCCAGTATATGCTTGCTTTCGTGTGCAAAAAGTCATGTGTTCTAGTGAAAATACTAGTATTAGTGTATGAGAAAATGAGTGATACGATAAAAAAAATGAAGCACAAAAATGATATAAGAAATTGCAACACTAGAATGGCTGAAAAATACTACTGTTTGTAAACTAATTATTTCACTTATAAGTAACGGAATTTACCACTTTAGCAAATTAAGAAGCTCTTTTTAAATTAAAAACTGTATGATTATCCTTTTAGAATCAGTTCAGACCTCACATGTTTCATTTCAGAATTGGCCATAAAAAAATTCCCCTCAAGTCCGTTGGTTACAAAGGACATAATGGAAATAAACCTTTTTAAAAAGAGCAAAACTAATCTCCAAAGCTCAAGCAACATGTCAGGCATCAAAAAGAGAATTAATTAAATGGTTACCTATTCCTGGATTGGATCCTATACCAGAAAAAAAACAAGCTATAATAAATATCATCAGCATAATTTGTCAAATATTAAATATGCCCTATGGATTAGATAATCTTATTGTATCGATGTTAAATTTCCTGATTTTGATCGTCGTACTATGGTTATGTAAGAGAAGGTTCTTGTTTTTGGGAAATGTGTACTGAAGTAATTTTTGATAAAGAGTCACAATGTTGACCTCTTTACGTCAAGGTGGTTGGCTAGATGCATCTGGTATTCACCTCGTCCACAGAGAGGGACCAAAATAGCAAGTAGATAATCACACTTCCAATAGACTATTTAAGAGAGAACACTAGAATTTAGCAGAGAAGTGACTGGAAGCACCAAAAGAAATGAAGGAGAGGGATGAGGGACATGAGGCAGCCTGTTTGGTCAGAATTGGCAGGGAGTCTGAAGAGGCTACCTAACATGGTGAAAGGGTAAGAGACCTCCAGCTGTCTCCATTCTTGACATATACTTCTACAATCCTAGCCATGGGAGAGCCACTTGATATGTGTGAGCCCTGAGACTAACATAGTAAGCTGCCTGAAGACCATGCAGAGGCATTGCTCCAGAGAGTGAGCTCACACGGGGTCCCACAAACCCCTGAGTCCTAAGCAGCTGCAGCACGCTGCCATTTTGGGAACTCAGCTCCCACAGACTGTGTCCCATCCTGGGGCTCAACAACCTCTGCATCTCCACATCTTCGGAGCCTCACTGGCATTCCCTGCCTGCAACTGTCATCACCACTGGGGCCAATGTGGGAGTAATGAACAGCAACCCTGGCCCCTCCAAGAGGGGGTGGTGATACACTGTCACATGCCCAAGGACAAATTCACTGGCCATAACCACTGCACTGCCATTGCAGGCTGATGTAAATATGTGAAATAGTATGTAGTAATAAAAATAAA